TTTTTGTAAAAAGTACACTGAGAGCCGCCTGACACTGACAAATACTTTTTACAAAAAAAGTATTTGATAATATTGGACGAAGGGATCTTACAACGGACAAGTTATGATGAGCAAGCACACCGATGAACATCGGTATTTGATAATGCTATTTTTGGTATATTGGCTTTTAATATAATCATGGTGGGAAGATGAGAAACGTTTACGATAGGCATAGCATTGTGCCATGACGGATGGACTCTTCTTCCCTTTGGTTCTTATGTAGGCTCGCAATTCTAGAAATAAGTCCAAACACATGTATGTAGCCCAAATGCACTACTGTATTCAAATTTACACAAAAATCCATGACTATGTTATATACAGTTGTTACTCTTTTATTCATAAGTTTTATTTCTATAATGTTTAAGGAAAAATTTCAGTTGATATCTTTAATTTTATTAGTCTATGCAAAATTATTTGTATTTTTTTGTTTTATTTTGCATTTCTGTATTTTTTTGTTATACAACTTGTAACTTATACTACCTTTTTTTTTATATCATTCAGCATGCTAACATCCGTTTCACAACGAAACAATATTAACTAAAAGATTTTTTGTCTTTGTTTATGATGCCATTATAAAAACACACACTATTTAGTTTCTAGACAACCGTTACGACCTATTTTAAGAATATGAAAGTTTTTTTTGAACGAAAGTGGCTTAGATTATCATAACAGAACGTAAACATGTTACAAAATGACAACAAGGCTTCTGTCTGTCATCCGCCTTAGAACCAGACTTAGAATCAATCACCTCCGTAGAAGCAATATGATTCGCTGATCCCGCTTTGGGTTTAACTGAGACAATGACATGCAAACCAGACTCTTCATCACTTGTCCTAGGTTCTAGAGTCCCCCCCCCCCCCATGAAGAAATATAAATAAGCAAAATGAAATTCTTGAACACCAGCACATCGTTCAACCCCTGGCGGTGGTTCAAGAGGAGGCCGGACCATCGTTATGATTGTTGACACATAATGGATTGAAGCATAAACCAATCGGAGTATATTCCTCTTGCACTGTCTCCCATCCGTCGTCCCCACTATCCAACCATCTCCATCGGAGCATCTACGCTTCTTGATCAGCCCTTCTCTAACGCCTGCAGGTGACCCGATAAATTTTCCATCTGTCCAGCACACTGAATCTGTCTCATCGGCTCGTCGCCATCTTGCTGTGATCCTTTTGTCGTTGCCGAGCTCGCGATCTCGACCATTCAGAGGCGCTACACGCTGATTGAAAGAAAAGCCGCACTCAATCGGCGGAAAGAAACCCTAGTTTCAGGGGCGTATCCAGGGTGGGGGCAGGGGGGGCAGCTGCCCCCACTCAACCCCCACCCAACCCTTTTATATATATCCAATTTAAATTCACATATATTTTGTTCTAAATAAAGGGTTCTTATACATTAAGTACGAAGTTGTTGCTAAAATGTGCTAATGGTAGAGCGGATGTAGCTGTACGTTTAAGATGCATGCACGTGATAAGTCTAGTGTTCGATTCCTAATGTCTTGAAGCCTTAAGCAAGTTGGTTTTACATTGTTCTTTTTATTTATTACTACGGTATTTCTTGTTGGAAAGATCTAAATACATCAATATATAGTTTCCCTCAGTCTCTCCGTCCCGGAAAATTGTTCCCGGTTTTCCTTTTTGGGCCGTCCAAAAAAATTGTTCCACTTTGCCCTTTTGGAATGTTTTTTGTGGCTAATTGTCTTACTCACCCGCAACCATACATTTCCACTTTATTCCCACTTTTTTAAACTCCGTTCCAAGTCAATGTGGGAACAATTTTCCGGGACGAAGGGAGTATGAACTAATTTTGTACATAATATAAACTACGGAGTATTTTTTAATATACTTGTGAATTTTAAATTTAAATTAATTCTAACTAGATCTCCTCCTTCCCTTGTGAATTATGTCATTTATACATTGACATAATTTTGCACAAATTACAGATTCCATGTGATAAAATTATTTCTAACAAAGTGAAATTTAAGTAAACATGATATCATAATGTTTTTTAAGAAAGAATAATTTATTATTTATAATTGGTTTTCACAACTTTTTCTTGATCTGATTAGTTTGATTTTTCTTGTAATTTTTTCTTAATCTAAGGTAAATTCGCCCCCTCTGGCATCTTTTTCTGGATACGCCACTGCCTAGTTTAGGGAAAGAGCACGTTTTTTTGCCTAATTATAGGAAACCCCCTATTTCAAAAATATGAAAAATTAGTAACCTTGTTTTACTTTATCCCTAAAAATATTAACACGATGAAGTTAAAAGTTTATAAGAGATAGACTAAAATGGAAAATACTGAATATTACTAGGATGTTTTTTTACTAGACTAAAAAGTAAGTGTCAGAGATTAAAAAGTACATCAAAATCTAAATTACATACACCTAATTTTCAAGAATTAGGTGTAGTTAGAATAGTAATGAAATTGAAAATTAGGTGTAGTTAGAATAGTAATGAAATCTAGTAACTTATGTTCAAGTAATTTTCAAGTAATTTTCAAGTATTAAATTTAAGTTACAATGGCATTAGATTGTAGCAATTATTAGTCATATTTGTGTAGATAAAATATAGTAATTGTTAGGCCTAACGTAATGTACTTTAGCGGGTGGTAAATCTAAATGAGGATAACCTATATACGGAAATGACAGTTGTTTAGCGAGAACAATTGATACACCGTATATTGGGAGATAGATGAAGAAGAAATTGAGATTTTAACTTCGCCGGATTGGGTTGCTTCTGCGCCGGCAATAGGCCGGAACCTGCTGGGGGAGAAGGTACTTTCTTGGGAAAGGAAGAAAAACTGAAGAAGAAAGTAGAGAATTAATGAAAGTGAAAAGGGGGAGATGGAACGTATGTGAATCCTAAGAAATATGAAAGATGGATGGTAACGGGAAGAATGAAAGAAAAAGGGAAAAGGAAAAAGTAGTGATGTGGACTTCCATGTGGGCATCCACGGTGATCAGGAAAATGGTCCAGATTAAAAAATGGTGACAACTCTGGTACCTTTTTAAAAATCAGTGTACTGTACCTACCATGCATTTGATTGGTCCAAATCATTCTATTCCTTTCGATTTAGATTTAATTAATTCAACCGCATCATTCCTTAAGGGTACCGTAGAATCTACCTTAAAAAAATTTGAGTGTCATATTTATAAAGACTAAGGGAGTGTCTGCAACAGCTTCTGCTTTAAAAAAAACACTTTTGGAGTGATTTGGAAAATGTGATTATTAGTAAAAGTTGATAGTTTTTGAAAAAAAAAGTGATTTTGAAAAGTAAAAGTTGGTAGTGTTTGGTAAAATAAGTGCTTTTTTTGTAATAGAAAAGAGAAAAACACTTTTCACATGAAAGCCGAGAAAAGTAAAAATTGGTAGTGTTTGATAAGGGGGGTGTTTGGATCTGATTCTCAAAACTGATTCTATTTCTTCAGGGAGCAGAAGCAGAAGCTGGAGTGTTTGGGTGAAATTCCAAAAGCACTTCTGGTGCTCTAATTTACTCTCAGAATCAGTTTTTTAGAAGCTGGGGGGTACCAGCTTCTGAAAACTGATTCTGATTCTTCTTCTGCTTTAAAAAAGAAGCAGAAGCAGAATCAGTTCCAAATACTCCCTAAATAAGTGTTTTTTTAAGCTAAAAGCCGATAAGTACTTTTTTTAAGCTGTTGCAAACCAACCCCAAAAGATACATCAAAATCTAAGTTATGTACACCTAATTTTTAAGATTTAGGTGTAGTTCGAGTAATCATGAAACCATACTAATATTGTACACCTAATTTATGTTCAAATATTAAAGTTAAGTTACTATGACATTAGATTGTAGATATCATTAGTCATATTTGTGTAAATAAATTTTATTTTAATAATATTTTTTGAAAAATTCTATAAGTTTAATTTAAGTAATATTTAACAAACTCCCGCTAATATTTACGGGTATATATTTAGAAGTTATATTTGAAGTTTCATTGAACAATAAAATAGAACTCAGTATTATAAAGAGAAAATTTTACTTTGTACTACCCCACTTTTGGGCATTATATAACATTTCAGAATATCACCCATTCACCCATATGACCCATATTTTTAAAATAAGAGTTTAATAAATTAAAAAACAGTTTCTTTATACTGAAAATAAATAAGTATGCTCACAATTATCAAGAAAATATGTTATTTAACTAATTAAGAAATCACATTTAATATCATATAGTTCCTTTCACTCTCTGATCAACTGTTAAATTACCGCCAATTTTAATTTTTGGTATGACTGTATATTCTTCAATTTTTTTACATAGATACCTCAATTTTTTACCGTATTGAATTTTGCATCATATTTTCAAAATCATTTCTATACATATATACTTCGTATTTATCAGCCCAAAAACTTTGAAGAAATGGAGAGTAGAGCGATCAAATGATTTTATACTCGTAGAAGGTATACATTAATACTTTCAAAAAATAGTGTGTGAAGTATAGATACTCCAATCACAAATGTTCAATGCAAAAATTGGAAGAAAAAAAAAAGTTGGTTGCTTGAATATGTAGACAGACAGTTAAATGACAGGCCTTTTAATGGAACGGAAATAAGAATTATTCAAATATACAAGAAATGATCTAATGAATTCATAAAATTTATTCAAAAATATGGAGAAACTTGTATTTTGCTGGTCTGATCTGGTTGGGTCTAGTCTGAACTGGTCTGCTATGGTAATGTCTGATTTCTTTGTATTTTTATAACTATCCAAGTCTGGTTTGGTCTAATCTGATTTCATCTGAACTGGTCTGATTTGGTCTGATAAAAATATGCATCTTAGCAGGAAACATGACAAGAATCGAGGGGGTGATGCTAGAAAACGCAGGCTTCTCCAAACCTTAAAAAAAGGAAAAGATTTGGTCAAAAGCAACCGTCAAAAATGCGGTTCCTTTAGCTTCATGTGGTTCACAATTCCCGCCCATCTTCTTCGCCCCGCCAAAAGATCCTCTTATCAATTAAGAAATGGATCAGAAATGGAAAAAAACGATCAGAAAGGGGAAAACACAATTAATATATACATACCCACACTTAGCATGCAGTCAGATTTTATCTGAAGATTAATTAAAACAACAAAAACCCAATGGCACAACTTTATCGTGAGAAAGACGTCTCTGCCGCCGCAGATGTTCAGGAAAGGCCGCATAATGTGGTGGCCGGAACCGCCGTCGAGGGCCAGAGCAAGCTGGGCGGAACGAGCAGTGGCACGGCGGCGGCCACCGCGAATTTCAAATTCAATGTCCAGGCACCGGAGTTCGTGCCGACGCGAGCGATCCCTCAAGTGCCTCTTTCGGGTTATTTTTATCCGTACTTGCAGTATCCGGATTGGATTTATGTGGGCGACCAAGATTCTTCGTCGCCATTATACAACGCGAATCTCACCCTCGCCGCGTCTCAATCTCATAAGAGTTCTGTTCCTGATGAAGTTAAACATAAGATTATCAAACAGGTGCTCTAAATTAATTCTTTGGCTTCCATTTAACGAGACTGATCAAATCGGATCCCACTAAATCAAACTTCCGAAGTTATAAAATAAGAGCAAACAAAAAACATATTCAATATAAATAAAATGCATTCTAATTAAAATAAAAGTAAAATTGTATTTTCAGCCTCTCATATAATGTTGATATTGAAATGTGGTCTTTGTGTTCTCCATTGTGTAAATGTGACTCATCAATTGTCCGGATGAATGTAAACGTGATCCTCGCTTAGCTTACATTGTAAATGTCATCATTTATCACAATTCAGACAATTGAGTAGTGACATTTATGAACTTGAAAACAGGGGTCCTACATTTCAATATCCATGTTGTTTGTGGGATAAAAGTGCAATTTTCTCTAAAGCATCCAAATCTGCGATTGACCTGTGCCAAAACTCTTATCTTTCAAGACATAATAATCCCAATCCGTCCATAATATTCCATCATATATTAAATGCATGAAATAATTACATAAATATGACTAAAATAAATTTGGTTTACAAAAATATGTCTAGTTACTAGAGTAGTAATGAAATCATAGTAAAACATGTTCAAGTTTTGAACTTAAGTTACCACAACACTACGTTGTAGTAATGAATAGTCATATTTATGTAAATAAATTTTATTTTAGTAATATTCTTATAAAAAACCCCATGTTCAATCCATAGCTGTGTGCTTGATTGTATACATTCATGCATGCAATAGGTGGAATACCAGTTAAGTGACATGAGCCTTCTGGCAAATGAAAATTTGGCGAAACAAATGAGCAAAGATCCCGAAGGTTATGGTAAGGATTATGTTTTGCCATATCTAGCTAGTTTGGAATTTAGTATTATTATGGGTTAAGGGATTGAATTAGATACAAATTGTACTTATTGTGCAAACGTTTGTACAAGGTATCTTTACGTTATTTGTATTGCATATTGAAATTCAAAATGTTGTATATGATTCAACCATAAAATTGCAGTTGCATATTAATGTTCAAAGAGTTCATTTTAAAAAAAGGAAAAATTGAAAATAATAATCTCAACTATTGTCGGTCTGCTGAAAATAATCCCAACTATTGATTATTTTTATATAGTCCCAACTATATAGACTATCCGACAATAATGGTCCATGACCAGATATTACCGCTATAAAAAGTGAACTTTAAATAGAAATTAAGTGTAAAAATTAAAAGTTGAGATTATTTATAGGGATTACTTGTTATATTTCATCTCATCCACTCTAGAAACTACAAGAATTTATTCATACGGACCATTATTGGCGGAAGGTCCATAAAGTTCGGATTATTCTGGAATAATCAATAGTTGGGATTATTATGAGCGGACCGCCAATAGTTGGGATTATTACTATCAATTTTTCCTTTTAAAAAAGTTGGCTTTTATTACAAAAAGAGTCACCGTGCCTTATAGCCTTTAGATCAACTGATTGGATGACCAAGATGAGTTTGTAACTTGTAAATTAAGGAGAGTTTGTATTTGATCTCTATTCTATGGGTTAAAGGTTGAAATAATTAATGTGCTAAAAGTTTCTATTGGTTACATATTTACACGCTTAAAAAGTAAGGGCCAATTCAACTCATACCAATACTTCACAAAATGTAAACATTATTTACCATGAAACTTATTTATGGTTTGTAAGAGCATCTTTACTATGCAACATCAATTGCATATTCAACTTTTTGTATACAAGTGTCCTTTCTTTTGTGCAATTTTAGTGGGGTGATAATAATTTTTAGGTTTTTCTCTATCACATACTATCCTCCGTCTCTTTTTAATCGCAACATGTTGAATTTTACACTATTCACATGTTATACTTTGACTACATTTTATGTTATTATTTTATGAAAATTATTTTTTTTAAAAAATACTGTTCAATTCATCTCATTACAAATTTTCAATATCTAATTTTTAAATATTTTTTACTAATAGAGATTAAGAAATAATTACGGTCAAAGACATGCGTTGGCAAGTGTGAAATGTTGACTGTTGCAACTAAAAAAGAACGGAGGAAGTATTCCATAAGATATTTTATTTATGTTTTATTTTGTAGCCGTGTTACTTATACGCATAAGTTGTACACATTTTGTGTACACACTTCTAGTTGCATGTGCACATAGACAACTTTTGAACGAGTTGCTTGTGTACACATGCAACTAGGGAGTGTGTACATAAAATGTTTACAACTTATGCCTACAAACAACTTTAATTTTTTCTTTTTTTTGAATCATTAACACCGATTATGTACACTAACTTTGTTTTATAAGGTTTTCCTTACAACCAATTTATTTTTTAGACACAAGCTAGATAATAAAATTGGTAAATTATATGTTTGAGACATTACAATTTGATGATAGACATGGGCATAGGCAGGGGCATCCTATGCCCTGCCCTACCCCGCCCAAATTCTTAAAACGTTTGAATAATAGTGTAAATTTTTTTATGCTATTTTTTTTATAAAAAAAAAACTTTGTACCGATCCGTCTAATTTGACTCTTGGCCATGCCACTAATGATAGAAGTTTTTAGGGAAAACTGTCAAATAGGTCCTCGAACTTTCATCCCAAGTTTTTATTAAATGCCATATGAGTCACCATTCACATTAACTAACAAATATATTTTCTGGTTTGTATATGTATTGTAACAGTTCTAATAAGTTCTGTTGCATCAACAAAGAAAATCAAGTCTCTTCTTAGTAGTTGTAGCAGTAATGAAGTTCTAGCTCAAGCTCTACAATCTTCAACAAAACTGGTTAGTGTTATTTCAATTTCATCCTCATTTTCATGTTATGAACAATTTACGTAGTATATTCCAATAGAGTAGTCTTCCGGTCAGGTATACCTGACCGGAGTCCCGTCCGGCCTCCTCCATTTGGGGGCCTTCCCGGTGGTATTTTTTGCTCAAATTTTTTGTGTAGGTTCCTCATCAAGTCTAGTTTGTCCATACCAAATTTCAGCCAAAAATTCAATCGGGAAGGTCGTCAAATGATTTTTGCAAGTTAACTGGTCCGGAAAATACATATTCCGGACCAGTTAACTTGCAAAAATCATTTGACGACCTTCCCGATTGAATTTTTGGCTGAAATTTGGTATGGACAAACTAGACTTGATGAGGAACCTACACAAAAAATTTGAGCAAAAAATACCATCGGGAAGGCCCCCAAATGGAGGAGGCCGGACGGGGGCAGTGGTCCGGCCTGGCCGGACCTGAATTATTCTCTATTCCAATATACATATATGTGTTTGAATATAAGTACGGATTTTCGTGATCAAGATCGTAAGCAGTGATGGGAAGAAGGTCAAAAGGAGACATCCTTTCACTGAGAAGGACAAAGAGGAGCTGCAGGTTCTTGCTCTTCCTTTTCTTTTTTCCATCATCTTTTCAAAGAAATTAACAACACAGTTTGCATTGAATAGGACTTGTTCATTCGTAATAGTGTTAGAAAGGTTTCCTGTTTTGGAGTGAAATGGATGAAATTATTTTTATGAGAAAAAATAACAATCATATTCAACTAATTGGTTATGTTTTTTTCCCCTTAAATTCTGATCTCTTTATTCTTACTTGGTTTCTGACAGTCTCGCACGGTTGTGGCTGAGAATTTACCAGATGACCACTCCCACCACAACATTGAAAGGATTTTCAATGTGGTTGGAAGGTGAGATCTTCCTATTGAATGAATGATATTATTAGCATCGTAGTTGTTTAAGCAATTTTAAGTAAATTGAAACAATCAAATAGTCCGTAGATGAAAAGGATATATTGTGTTAAGCACAAGAATTGAAGAAATATAAAAAAGTAAGAATATATAGATGGCAATTGTGTATGTATATGTGTATTTAAGAATGATTGTGTTCTCTTTTACATCTGAGAGCTTATGCTATTTAAATTATAGAAAAAGGAATATTTCCATCTCACTTCCCCCGATGACTTTGAAACCGACACATAAAAATAGGATTTAGGGGAGCTACTAACACCTATATATCTCCCTAAACCAAGTTTAGGATTTTTATTTCTGATCATATTTTGGTGAGGCTTGTTTTTATGACGTGGCTCAAGCTAGCTATTCCGATCATATCGTCATGATTATGACAGTTCCATATATTCTTCCGTGAAATTAGGCCTGCAGACCTTTGCCCTGCAGACCTTTGCCGAGTCATCGGGGATTATTGACTTTTGTATCGATCGTGTTATGATGGATTCACCCGGCGGTTTCGGGGTCCTACCTAAAATCGGGCTACAACTTAGTCAACCGATCCTATCCCCCTTACATTTACCCGGTCAAAAGGGTGCAAAAACGTACAAATGGACAATTTGTTACATAATTAACTCTCATATTCATAACATTAAATGCAATGTTAATTAATCAAATAATTGCACCAATCCTAGTTAATCTTCGAAATTGTATATTGTGTCGGTCAAATGGTTTGAGTGCATTACATATTGCTCAAGTCTCATTGGCATTAAGCAGTTCGCGGAAAGCGATTAATGGATTTAGTGTTAAATGAGTGAGTAGTTGATAGCAATTTCACTAGATCATGAAGTAACGTTTGTGAAGTAAAATTATGTGCATATTAATTAAGTACTACATCATGTTTTTACAGTGTGAAAACCATCAGAATTTGTCATCCTCAGGATCCAAATTCATCTCGTTCCAAAGGAGAATATTTTATTAGCAATAAGGTAAGAAACTTTGTATATTTTGTTAAGCTCAAGTATTGATTCTGAAAGTAAGAACTAATTTTGTCCTTATTGCATGTTCTTCAAAAAAAAAGTTGCACGCTCTGGTAGAGTTTGAGAGCCCGGAAATAGCAGAGAAAGCTGTAAGTTTATTCTCATAAGTTCCCTAAAATTAAGATTAAAATTTTCACCTAGAAGTAGTCTTTCTATAATTGTTCATTGATTTGGATCAAATCAGGCTGAGAAGTTGAATGATGAGAGGAATTGGAGAAAAGGGTTGCGTGTAAAGCTCCTTCTTAGGCGCTCGGTAAAGTATCTTAAACCACTAAACTAATTTAATTACAATTCACTCGTATTTTGTCATGAACATAAGTAGGGTGACACCTTTTGCATTTTTTATCACCTCCAAAGTTATTTTTTAGTCCCTTTAGGGAAAGCAATATGTAGCTTAATTGTAGCATTCTATTTTCTAAATAAAAACTCACAGATCTCATGTTATTAAAATAATACGTGTTTAGTCAAATTGGGCAATAAATTATGTGTAAAGATGTGCATTTTATTTCTTTATTTTAATTAATTTACAAGACATACCTAGTTTGTACTACGTACCAATAGGTTGAACCTTGTTTGATGTGCAGCCAAGATCTGTGTTAAAGAGCAGGAAATCGGAATTTGAAGGTTGCTTGGAAGATGATGATCAAGGGTCACCCCATGAGACAACAGAAGATTCATCTCCACTAAATCAATCAGAATCAGCCGACACTAATGTAAGTAATAATGAACACTACTATCCCAAATGACCTAGTACTTATACATAACAACAAGACTAATGACGAACGATTATGCATATAATTCTAATCAGCCCTGTTAGACAAATTATTCATCAGGTAACCGCTCGTTACTTCATAGGAACTCCAATAGTTATTACTCAAATCATAATAGCTAGAATCACGCATTGAGAAACGTGAAATTCAAACTGTTATAACCTAATAAGTTTTCACGAGCAATTTGGGTATAAACTAGATTAGATCATAGTTGACCAGAGACTTAAACAAACTAGTTGCACAAGAATATATTATGATGTCCCAAACAAACCAAGGAAGATTGTACTTGAACAATAACAAAACACGTGATAACAACTCTTATGTAACCATATCAAAATGGCTCAGACAGGATCGTGTTTAAAGTGATCACTCGAGACATGTTCAAATCAGGCCACACTAGTGTAAACATCATACCTTTATATATGTACAAAAAATGTTTGGTGTACACTTTTTTGTATACACCATTAGCACATCTCGTCTATCTACCCAAACAGAGTTGTAAATAGAGTTGTTTGTATATAGACAACTTATGTATTTTCAGACGAATTTTCAATTATAGACAAAGTGTGCAAATCATGTATACAAAGACCTAGCATTTTTGTATACGTACATGTGTGCTCCTTCCCCATCTCTCATTCTCTCCCCCACAAACACATCCGTACCACTATATTCTCCATAAAGGTGTGCTTCTCTAACATAAATTACATTTTTCTATGTCTAAACTATTACCCATCATTCTTTATTTTGACTTTGTTTAATGCCAGTATTTATCATCTGTGGGTATCTACATTGTGCGTGTATACATCTTCTTACAATAATTATTACTCTTATGTTACTGGGTGGGGCAGGCGGAGGAGAGCTCATCATCATCAGCCAATTCAAAGAAAGGATGGGGAAAGGGACGAGGGAAAACCAGGCCGCGCGTGCTGACTCACGGCGGTGGCGGAAGTGGTCGCGGCCTTCTGCCTTTGTCTCCGCCGTGCAGCAGTGAATCGCCGGCCAAACTAGCAAGCAAGGGACCCAGGATGCCAGACGGAACCAGAGGTTTCACCATGGGAAGAGGAAAGCCACTCACCCCCACTGCTCCGTCCACCGTGCCATGCATTTAATCACTGTTTGGATACTTATAGACATACATTATTGTTTTCTTCTGATCAGTTTTGATAGCCTCCTATAGAAATTAATGGAGACTTATAGAAAAAAGTGACATCCTTTTTTGTCACGCATTAGCGCAGTTTTTGTGGCTAATAATGTGTTTTGCCCGGATTTCTTGTAATTTTAAAATTTACAGCTACATATATTGATAATCTAGAGGTCCTCAATGTTGAAACAAAGATTCACCGAACATATATTAAATTGAGTTATACACATAGGCTATGTTTGGCATAACGAGTTGGAACCGGAGACTAATGTCTGAATTGGGTGCTAATGTTTGAATTAGAGACTATTGCTAGCTGAACAGAGTACATCCGTTTGGCAAAAAGAGTTGGAAAAGTGCCCTAATAGTATGAATGAAATTACATGCATATGATTTATTAATAAAATAAAATACTTATTATAATTATTTTTATTTACATTTTTCAACGTTTTAAAATTTTAGTATGTTTTGAGCCCAACGAGCTGATAACAATCTGAGTACATATATGAGTCACCATATTTTTCATCCATTCATATTTAGATCAAATTCCAGAACCTGAGAACATATACCCAGTGACCCATTGAAAATCAAACCGGTACGTTTCAATAATCTCTGGTACACCATACACCATTATTCGCCTCCAACAAACAATCGACCGAGAGAGGGGAGTGAGGCCGCGAGAGATACGATGGGAACTGAGAATTAGAGAGACTGCCACTACAAAAAAACACAGGCGTAGTCACGGATTTAGTCACGGACTACAGTGTAAATTTTCCGTGACTAAAAAGGTTAGTCACGGTCATCCGTCGTGACTACATCCGTGACTTAATGGGCGTGACTAAATGTAGTCACCTCCACATTAACCGTGACTACATGTAGTCACGGAATAGTCACGGACATCAGCCGTGACTATTCTTATGCCGGAAACCCTACTCCGACGTCTTAGTCACGGCTGTTGACCGTGACTATTACGATTTTTTTATATATATTAGTCACGGCTATGGACCGTGACTAAATTTTCAAATTTCAAAATTTGAAAAAGACCGCCCGCAGTTGTATTAATCCCTATTTTGAAATTTTAATTAGTCACGGACATGTAGCCGTGACTACTTTAAAAAAAAAATTCGGATTAACTTAGTCACGGATTAAGGGCCGTGACTAAGTTTTTTGTTTTTTAATTTTTTTTTTTTCAGTTTTTTTTAAAAAAATGTTTTTAAAAATTTACTTTTTTTATGCGTATTATATTAAAAATTATATTTTAAATTTTTTAACAATTATATTATTCTAATTTTTTAAAGAAAAAATTACATTTTAAACAGTAAAGCAATTAAAACAATAAAAAAACACATACAACAAACTTAATAAATATTATGACGAACTTTTAAATGCAATATAAAATGCCAAACGTATAAATGTATAATTGTATGATGATTACATGTCCGTTCATCGTCGGACTCCATTATGAAAAAAATTAGGATTATCTTCATCATCATCATCATCAACAACAACAAGAAACTCTTCTGGGTTCACGGGGGGGTCTTCGGGCTGCTGCACGGGGTCGTCGGGTCGGGTTCCTCCTCGGGGTCTTCCTCGGGGTCCTCCTCGGGGTTCATGGCTCGGTGTTGGACCACTACCTCATCCAGATGACCTCAAAAAATCAAAGGACTGAGATCCGAAATTCGGACTTATCATAGGCGTGCCACCATATCCGGAGTTGGAGAAAAAACCCATACCGCCCATGTGCGGAACTTGAGGAGTTTGCTCAGGGTGGAATACGTACAGGGGAGGAAAAGGCTGGTGCGGAGGCTGGAATCCGGCACGCATGAACCGTTCCATCTCCTCCAGCCGGGCTTTTGTTTCTTCCTCTCTTTTCCGCTCCTCCTCCCATCGCCGTTCATGCTCCTCCAGTTCACGCTGCATTTGGGCAATACGAGGATCTACTCCCCGCCTTGACCGAGAAGAGGAAGCTCCGGTGCTTCGATCATACAAAATTCGTTGCCCCTCGGCCCCCAAGCACGGAACCCGACCCTTGTATACCCCGGCCGCCTCAATGGCCGCCTTATCATCCGCATCGGAATCGAGCTCGTCCTCCTGGGTCAAGCCTCGCTCCGCACGCTGCCTGTCAACGGATTCGTTGTACTTCGTCTGCATTTAAAAAAAAATTTAAATGCTACATACTTAGATTTGAAATGTTACTAAATAACAAAATATGATGTTACATACTTCGAAGTCAGAGAGGCGGGGTGGCAGATTGGCTTCCGACTCCTCCCCGTGCTTTGTCCAGCAATGCTTGACGAGGTTGAGAATTTCAACTCTCTTCTTCTCCGGACCAGCCTACATGGTGTGAAAAAGGCTTAAGAAAATTTTGTATAATCAAGGGTTGTAATGGTGTAAGGTTTTTTGAATAGCACTTACAAGAGTTTCTTTATGGGCATACTGAGATTTGCGACCCCCGTGCCACTGCGTCTCCAAGGCCTTCTCAGACATCCAATTTTTCTTACCGGATTCACTTCTGGCCAAGAATTTTGGATCCGAAGACCAGTGGCGACAAAGGTTGGCCCACACTTCATCCGAAACCCATTTAGGCTTTTTCGCACGGTCTTGGGCACGCTTAAAAGTGGGTCGAAGCCAGGCCGAAATCCTAGCATTGTAGGCTCTAAGAATATCAGCACCGTTTGCGTGAGTCCAACGAAAGCGAGCCTTTATTAAAAAAAATTGGATTAGTTAATCATTTGTTTTATATTAGGCTACTACAATTACGCAGGGAACATTTATTTATTTTTACCTTAAATAGGTTCCACCATAGTTCGCGGACCTTGGGGTCAACATCCGAGTAGGTGGCCCAATTGCCAAGAAAGTGTCCTCCTATTATGTTTTTGATGCCTTCGAACACTTGTTTGTCACTTCAAAAAATTAATAGTATTTATTTATATAAGATTTGGTTGGATTACTTGACATTATATAAAATTAATTGACATAAGGTTTGTTCATAACTACTTACAAAGCAACTTGGGCTGGGGTCACCCAAACAGCTCTTTCATTGTTGCGCTCGACTTCGGTCATGGGCGCATAGTTAGGATTACCTTGGGCAGCCGACGTCGATTGTTCGTTGCTCATCTAAAATATATTAATTTATTTTGTTTTTTGTTAGTACGATTATAATAGAAGATCAAATTTTTATATAAGTATTATCAATTGTAAATGTGTATAACATATTAAATTGGGTATAAGTTTAATATGAGGGTTTAATAATTGCTAATAAACAAATACTATAATTATCAATGAGTTGACCAAGTCGACCGAAGAATCGACCGGTTGGAGCTTATCAATGAGTTGACCCAGTCGATTCATTGATAAGCTGTATCCGGTCGATTCCTCGGGCTACGGCTTGAACCATGGATGAGCTAAATCACATGTAGCGACATAATGTCAGTACATGCGCTTGGGATAGTCCATCGATGGCTCAAGCCGCAGCCAGAAGAATCGACCGGTTGGAGCTTAACAAGGAATTGACTGGGTCAACTCATTGATAAGCTCCAACTGGTCGATTCTTCAATCGACTGGGTCAACTCATTGATAAATTATAGGATGAGTTTATTAGAAATTATTGGACCTCTCATATTAAACTTATACACAGTTTAATATGTTATACACATTTACAATTGAAAATACTTATATAAACTTTGATCTATATAAGTATTATCAATTATGTGAGTATATATAAGTATTATAAGTATTATCAATTGAAAATGTGTATAGCATATTAAACTGTTTATTAGTTTAATATGAGGGGTCCATATTTTTTCATAATAAGTTCTTTTATAATTTGGAAATAAATTGCTCTTCGAGGTAACATGTTAAACTTTTTGCAAAGTTTACATGAGAGGACATCATTTTTTTTATGTTTTAGATATATCAGTTTTATAAACAGTTTTAAAAAATTATAAAAACAGTACACTTTTTTTTATAAAGACTTTTTTTTGTAGAAAAATAGTATACTTATTATTATAAAAATCAGTTTTTGTAAAAACTTTTTTCTAGAGTTGCAGTATACTTTTTTATACAAACAGTGTATTTATTTTAATAAAAACAGTTTTTATAGAAACTGTTTTCTAGAAAAACAGAATACTTTTTCAGCAAAACAGTATACTTTTTTTTATAAAACAGTTTTTATATAATAAAAACTCTTTTTATCAAATCTATTTACTAATCAGTTTTTACAAAAAACTGTTTTTACAAAAACTGTTATAAAAAATCAGTTAATAAACTTTCTATAAAAACAGTAATTAGGAAAAACAATTTTTCATCCAGTTTTTAGAAAACAGTTTTTCTTAGATTAATTATTAAAACAGTTTATAAAAAACAGTTTTTTCAAAAACAGTTTTTATATAAACAGTTAACATAAAACAGTTTACATAAAAACAGTTTTTTTAAAACATTTTTTTTACTTTCCATAAAACAGATATTTCGAAAAATATGTTTTTATAAAACATTATTTTTTAAACTGCTTATATCCAGTTTTTAAAAAACTGTTTTATACTTCTTAAAATAATTATAAAAACAGTGTTTTATCCAATTTTTACTATTTTTACTAATAACAACTGTTTATAAAAAAACAATGTACTTTTTTACGTTTAACATAAAAATTCGGGAATATTTTTTAAATAATTGGGAAAACAGTATACTTTTTTATGTTTATTTTAAAATTTGTAATATTATAATGAAACATGTTAAGTTTGTGAAAGCTTAACATGAGGGGGGAATTTTTTTAAATATTTCGGGTTAAAACATGAAAGGCATAAACATTGTATAACTATAGAGAGGGATGCATATGAAACACTAAACATATATATTTAACATTAAACTAATTGTATAAACATGCATTAGTTCGAAAATTAAATATTTATTTAACACTAAACATATTTATTTAACAAATAAAGACAATTTATTTAAAAAGTGTGTTTAAATATTTTCATAAATTAAATTCGGAAAAAAGTTTATTAAGTAGTTTAACATGCATATGAACATTTATTAAACATGTAATAGTCTAAATCATTTAAACATAATTATCATGAATACAAAACATATGAATCATGCATATTAAACATATAAAACGAAATTATCATGCAAAACTACAAATCATGCATATAATAAATCATACATACAACTTTTGAACATTACAAAATGATATGAAACTAAAAATCATGTATCTGATCATGCATTTGAGTA